TATGAAGAGATAACTTTTACAAGAGATGTGTGTGTGAGGAGATAAAGTTTACAAGTTCATCTAATCATTTACATGAACGTACCCGAGAGCCATCATGTCTAGTGGCCTCGATGGGGGAAGTCTGTTAGGTTTATCAGCCCACTGGCTGACCTTCCCAAAGATACAACATATAGCAGTCGGCTGACTCCCAGGTACCTAGTTACTGCTAGAGGAAGAGAGACCCAGACGTCTCGTCCTCCCTATGAATCAAACCTGCTACCTTTCGTCTGTGAGCCAACTGTGCTGTCCACTACGCCTGTTATATATATGAAGTGTTGCAGCAACAGCATATGTACAGTATTTTACATTTAGAAATAACAGCAGGCGTAAATGGCTTGTTAACGATGACGACATTATGTGGTAATTAGTGTTGATGTAAATATATACCTGCACGACAGCAGGAGAGGTCTCAACAGTCATAACTGACACTATACATCTGGTATTATATACATGGTCGTAGGTAGAGCGGCTGCACATACAGGGAAGCCATCACTATGCAGCGTTTCAGGCAAAACAGAATAATTTCGGACAACATAGTGTAGGCTGTAACGGAGGGAACTAATATTATTTACAAGAATAATACAAAGGGAATAGACAGAAAATACAAAACAAAAATGTATGTACTATAATATATATTTCATATATATTAATTGTCAGTCTACAGCAGTAAACACGATGAAAAGTATTTTTTTTATTATTTTCTACCACAGGCGTGGCCACACAATTACAATGCTAACCAGCATATATACATTTTCTTCTGTCCTCCATGGACAGGGTGAGAGATTTGTCAAACATACAGTTCGGTGATTTATTGAACAATCAACCACAGAAGGTGATTGTAGCAGTGTGTGTGTAACCACTATGGTTAACCTCAGGGTGTGACACTAACCACACCCTTCCCATCTCAGGGTGTGCAGGACTGCTGGTCGGCCAGCCCATGGACACCATCAAAGTCAGACAACAGACCATGACTAAAATGTCATCCGTCAGCTTCTTGGTCCGCATCTTTAAATATGAAGGAGTGAGTACTTACACCTGTGTATTGCCCTCTTCCTCGTTAATAAGGATATCATTACCTTCCTCATAAATGTGGTTATCATTACCCTCTTCCTCTTTAATAAAGTTATCATTACCATCTTCCTCATTAATGTATTATCATTGTAACAGTTCAATAATCTTGTTTTTTCATTAATGTGTTGGTGTGGGAATGACCAGTATGATATAGTGGAGAGGGCATCACAGTAGTGACGTGTGACGGGGGCTGTGTTACAGGTACGAGGCTTCTATAAGGGAATGGGCTTCCCCCTGTTAGCGGCGGGAACTCTCAACTCTCTGTTCTTCGGTGTGTATGGGAACAGCCTCAGGTGGCTGTCAGAGGGCAAGGCCAGACCATCACCAGCTGATGTCATGCTTGCTGGTTGTGCTGGCGGAGTTGCACAGCTGTTTGTCGCGTGCCCAGTCGATCTAGTCAAGATTAAGATGCAAATTCAAGTGGGTAAGTACATATAGTAGTGTCTATGGAGCGTTAATGTAAGCTTATATGTGCAATATATTTGTATTTACACTATTTTAAATGATAATTTTGAAAACATGGAGGGGTCCTATGGAGCAGTAGTCAGCGCAGTCGGGTCATAATGGAAAGGCCCCGGGTTCGATTCCCGCGGCAGGAAAGAGGCTTTTAGGGAAGTTTTTTTTTTTTTACTCCAGATGTCTCTGTTGACCTAGCAATAAATAGGCACCCAAGAGATAGGCAAGTGTTATGACTTATATCTTGCGGAGGTCGGCTGGTGTCTGTGTGGTGTGGGGAAGGCGCCTTTACAAGAATGTAAGAACTCTTGTATATTTAAATAAAATAAATAAAATATTCCCATATGCAGGCGATGAGTCACAATAACGTGGCTGAAGAATGTTGACCAGACCACACACTAGAAGGTGAAGGGACGACGACGTTTCGGTCCGTCCTGGACCATTCTCAAGTCGATTGTGAGAATCGACTTGAGAATGGTCCAGGATGGACCGAAAGCCAGGCTCCGGGCCCGTGTACCCTTGGTCGTCCTTGCTCTTCTCTGGCACAAATTAATACTTTTCATTTTCTTGACAAAAGTGTCGCCTACGCACGGTTTCAATTTACTAGATGTACTAAAAGTTGTTAGTGAATGTACTGTGACAAACCTTTAATGCATTCACTAGAATACTATATTGTTGAATGTGAAACCGTAAAAGATTTTAGACCTCCTGGCCTCTTGTACCACCAACTGGGTGACTATTTCATTGAATCTGGTGTACTGGACCACATCCTAACAATTTATCCAAAATTTGCTTGTCCATTTTAAAGAATGAAGAACAATTTTATTTATTTATAAACTTCATCTCTTAAGAACCATTCCTGCCCTTGTGCGGCAGTGCACAATAGAAAGTTGTATTTACATATTCGTACATTGAAACATTGATAGTAACTATGATATATATATATATATATATATATATATATATATATATATATATATATATATATATATATATATATATATATATATATATATGCTTCAGCCTACAGTTTAGACCTATTGTCTCGTGTATGACCCTCTCTCCTTTGACAGTGAACACCAGCATTATTCTCACTCTGATAAGACTTAATTGAATTCCTCAAATTAGGCAAAATTGTAATTAAATATTGTCAATTAAGATGTTAATAATAATAGTGAATGTATGGCAAGCTTGCTGGTGTGTGGTGTAGTGTGTTGTCCTCGCCAGAGTCACCACGGGAGGACGGACGGGGAGGAAGTAGCAGCAACAGGTACCGAGGGCCCACCGCCTGTCTTCAACACATGTATAAGAAAGGTGGTGTAGCTGGCTGCTATACTGGCTTTAACACAATGTTCTTTAGGTAACTCTCCGAGCTTTTTTTGTTCTTTTTTTGTAATCAGTTTTATACAGTTCCCTTACTGAACATGTGTGGTTGTTTCTCACATCCATGAGAACATTCTTCTGTGTCCCCAAATATTTATATCAATGTGCTTGTAGTTGCTATGTCAGTCTATCTGGGTTCTTCAGGGTTTTCTCATGTGTTTTATTTCAGTAGGGATCCTTTTTTTGAGTAGTTGGTGACAGTTTCCACAAACGTGAGCAGATTTGTTTGTACAAAAGTTTTAAGGATGTTTTCACAAAGTTTTTTTTTTACAAAAGTGTGTTGTTATGTTTGTAACTTTAAAAATAAATATGCAATATGAAATACATATTAGAAATGCAGTAAGCATCTTATAATTAAGTGTCTCCCTGCACTTAGTTCCCACAAAGTGCAGTGGTCAGCACTATTGACTCACAGCCCTCTTGTCCCTGGGTGCACTCACCCAAATTGTGGGAAAACAGATTCACAGACACGACCCCAACAGTTCTCACATTAACCACTGGAAGATTCCCAACGCAGCATGCTAACGCCTCTCTTACTTCCTTATATGTATTAATGATTTGCTAAATGCTACTAACCTTGAATATATGCTGTATAACCAAACAGCATACTCATCACATAAGTCTATACATCTTAAGATAAGATTGCAGTCCCCATGGCGTAGTGGTAAGACGCTTACTTGTCGACCGGAGACATCTCCCGTCACGTAGGGTGCAGTCGCACCTCCACAGATCTCCAGTAACATCTATTTGATACCGGTAATGGCTCAAAAGGGCCACCACTTAGAGCTATTCATGCCCGTGCTACCTTTTGGGTGGCTTAATCTTCATCAATCAATCAAGCTTGCTTGTCGTTTCGCAAGCGCTTTGGCCTAGGTCCGTATCCTGGCAGGGGAGGATTTACTCCACAACGCAAATCCTTAACTGTTGTCTCTGTTTACCCAACAGTAAAATGGGGACCTGGTTAAACGATTTGGCGGAGTCTTATTCAGGGAAGGAATATTAGGATTAAGGACCTGCCCGAAACGCTAGGCGTGCTAGTGGTTGTACAAGAATGTAAGAACTCTTGAATAAATAAATAAGCTACTCTGTGGGAGTAATCCTTGATGTGGGCGAGTCAGACAAGCCTCAGTAACGTTAGGGTGGACTGTGGTATTCGCATATTGAACCAACATAAAAGTCACTGCAATTTTTAGTTTGTTTCAAGAGATTGGACAAAACGCTATGCGTATAAGTGGCTTTGCGAGGATATACTAATTACTTACTAAAATCTGTACAGTCACACTATTGTACCATCTTGTATACACAGTAAATTAATAAATAATACACAAGAAATTTTGCAGTGTGAAAAGTAGTTTGAGACTAATGGTCAGTTAAGATAGAGCACGGTAAATAGTTAACTGCAACTTATGAGCCACAAAGAGTTATTAGTTCTCTAAAACTAATCTGGAAATACTGCACTTACAACAATTTGTATCCTTCCTCAGGGATGTGCCATCTTTTGGCTTATATATGTTACTGTATGAAGCATTCGTCACAGAGTTATCTGGTCCAAATCGCTATACAAGTCACGAGGCTGTGATCCTAAGCGGGGGATTGGCAGGTAAGAAACACGTGTTGTCCGCTATATTACTAAGCTGCAGTCTTCACCTATATATTGCGTTGCTCATTTCTAAAGTAATTTATGTTAGAGTTTTCAGAAAACATTTCGAGCATTTGAATTAGCTATATCTATGAAAAAGATGACTGTCTGAGGTTGTAAACCAGATGTTTGGGGCTAGCCTCGCCCAATTTTGAATAGTAATTGCTGTTGGGTACATGCCCAATATAGGCAGGTCGGAGTTGGCATTAATGAAATGAGTACCACTCGACATGGTGGCAAAACGAATCTCACAATATCATACTAACTTGACTCAATTATTTTCTCTCCTATTTTCTAACTGTATTGTAAAGCATTATTTTCTGATGTTCACAAGATTTCCTAACAAATTCTATCATATTTTGCCTGGAATGGCTTATAATGTGTGTTTATGAAGTCACCACCACCGGCTCACCAATCATCATGCTTCCTCCATACCACCGCCTCAGTGGTCAGACCTCCAAACAAACCTTCCCACTTTACATCACAAACATGTTCACACAGCCAACACTGGTACTAAGAGAGACAGACAGACAGACAGACAGAACGATAATGACAGAGTGAGAAGAAAGAATCAGAAACATAAAAAGAGACAATCAGAAAATGAGAAACAGAGATAGACAGAGAATGTCTGTCCATAAACAGTCAAGTCAGAGAGACAAACACATATAGACAATGGTTACAAAAATGTACATTGGTTAATACAATGAGTGTTTTTTTCTTATTATGACCAAACCTAACTCATGTCACCTTTCACTCTTCGCCTTTCTAGAAAATATAAATTAAGTTCTATTAATCTCACTTCTTGTGAAACTTTTCTATTCTTGGAATTAACTTTGTCATTCTTCTCTGAATTTGTTCAGTTGAATTTATGTCTATGGCGGCCGAAACTGAACTGCGTAATCTAAGTTGGGCTTAACAAGTGCAAGATAAAGCTGAAGATTATCATAAGCTGTTTTATTGCTAAAGCTTCTAGGAATAAATCCAAAAATCATATTTGCTTTATTCCGAACACTTGAGCATTATTTCTTGAGTTCAGATCCCTATTAATCTTGCTCATCTATTGTATGCTACGTTCACTCTGATTTCCCTGTGATCGCTGTTCCTTAGTTCACTCCCTATTTCAATGTTAGTTAACTCCAAGTCTAAAATATTATTTTCCAACGTTGGCTTTTTAATATGTTGCTTGAGAAAGCAATCATAAATTAATTTTAAAACTCTTCGGTTTCGGTTTTCCTTGCTTTGTTACTTCAGTTTATTCAACTAATATTAAAGTCTCCCATAAGATAAACTGTTTGACCAAGATTCTCTAGATATTTCATCCCATATATGCTTGCTCACATTCTGTCGAAGTTTGGTGGCCTGTATATAACTCTTATTATTAAATTATTGTTTTCATTTAATTTTAACCCAATAGCTCTGTGTGTGCTCCGCCCCTCATCTTTGTACCCAAACTGTTTACCAGCTAGCACGTGCTTTGTTTAGCCCTCCTTTCAACAAATCCATTCCCATACCTATATCAACGAACAGTTTAATCCCAGACACGCCCCACCAACTACAGATACCAACCAACTGGCAAAAGAGACCACCCCAGCCCAATATAAGTGAACCCCATGTTGGGCATACATATCATTCTTTCCATAGAAATAATTCCATAGAATTCTCTCCAGTTATCAACTAATAATATTCAGTTGATTTGCAATATATTTTTCCACGACCCTTTCCTCGAGAGTTGTAATACTTTTCTTTTGTTTCTAGGGATGTAATAGCCTCAGGGGTGTATATGGCAATGTATGAGTGGTTGGTTGACTACAACCCGCAGCCCTCTGCTGCCTGTACAGCGTGGTCAGGGGGTGTGGCAGGTAGGTAGGCATGATGCAATGTAGCATGTTTTGGCCAGCTTGTGCTTACAGCTGTACCGCTCCACACCCACAGTCTCCTTGACGTCCTTATACTTCATGCTGAGTGCCTGAAGCTTCAACATTCCACCTATCATGAATTATTATTTTGAAATACAGAAGTCAACTTTTTTATTTTTGACGAAATTAAATTTGTACTTCGTCAAATAGTGTGTTATCACCCCACTGACGATAATGTGTTCTACAGAGGCCAGATGTGTGTGTTTATCAGGGAGGAGGAGTAGTCTCTTCACAACTTTTTCAGTCCGTCTAATCTTCCACATTGTAGCACTAGACGGGTCATTGTAACACCGGACTCGTCATTGTATCACTGGACTCTGCAGCTACGATCTGTAGTCTTGTAACCCATACCTGTAATCTCTACCTGAAGCCTCTACCTGTAATCTCTCCCTGTAGCCTTTATAATCTCTTCCTGTAACCCCTTCCTTTATTCCCTGGCTGTAGTCCAGTTATTTTGAACAAACTGGGAACATAATTTTGAACACAAAGTATTTTGCTTTTTAACTGATATCATACTAATAATACTGTTTTCTATTCCAGCTTATTCCTGCACACAATATTCTCTGTAAATCTATATAAATATGATATTCATATTTAGGTGTTAATTTACACGGATATATTTTTGGTTTTGTGAAAATATTGATAAATATAAGAAATACTCTCATATTAGTACAGTGAGTGGGTACAGTGTAATTGTACCCACCCACTGTACTACTGTGGGTGGGTACACTGTAATTCATACTGATTATGTGATTGTTGGCTTACCTGAGGCAGCCTCCAACACACAGGTGTTGGGGCCAGTGGCCACTCACCTGCAGCCGCTAATTTGTATATCTCTCTCTTAATTATTTTATTTATTTCCATTCAGGTGTAATTTCCTGGGCTACAATATTGCCACTTGATGTTATCAAATCCAGAATTCAGGCTGACTGTACTTCTAGTCCACAGTACAAGGTAAGACTGTACCTGTAGTCCACAGTACAAGGTAAGGCTGTACCTGTAGTCCACAGTACAAGGTAAGGCTGTACCTGTAGTCCACAGTACAAGGTAAGGCTGTACCTGTAGTCCACAGTACAAGGTAAGGCTAACTGTAAAAGATAAGACTGAATGTACATTTTATAATTACAATTATTATTATTATTATAAAAGATAAAATACCCACTCTTGTCTTGATATGTAGTTTAAGTAAAGAATTGAAATACGCAAAGTGTTTTGCACTCTCCTGAGTGGCTAATGAAGGTCACAACAGTCTATAATATGAACAAGACTTATATCTCAACGACCAAACATTATGTCTGGGGGGTTTCCTCCTTTTCCCCTGTTTCTTTTTCGCTTTTGTTTTAGCGCATTGGTTTTTTGTCTTGGTTTTAATAACATTATCTTGGTGGCGGATGTCACCAGAATGTAGGTTGCAGAATGCTCACTAGTGAGTCCCATTCTTCAACTGCTTTTCTAATCATCGTAGTCGCTGTGGAATTTGCATCTAATACAGCTGCTGTCTTTGGATTAATGTTGAGTTTGATGCACAGGGCTTCAGTTGCTTCACATTCCATTAAGTAATGCAAATCCTCCTAATTGTTCTGCATTTTTAATGGTTTCGATGAGATCCGCCTCGCTATGTCTGGTTTATAGTGTTGTTAGTGTTAGTTAGTAGTGGTGTTGTTAGCCCCAAGACCGCTGGTATGAGTCCACTTAGTTCTGGGATGACTTTTGTTGCTCTGGAATGATTAACGGCTTTATATAATATATTTAATATATATATAATGATTAACGGCTTTATATAATATATAGCCGTTAATAATTCTTTATATATCCCAGACACCTTATTGTTATTGTTTAAGATTCGCTACCTGGAACAAAAAGTTCCAAGTAGCACGGGCTATGGTGAGCCCGTATCCCAGACACCTGCCGCGGCACCCAGAAGGCAAGTTCAAGTCACTCCATTGCCTCAAAATTATTTTCGTAGATATATCACGCCATTATGATTTCCTTGCTATTTATATCAATATTAATATACTTTTCAGGTAAATCATGTGAACAAGAGACACTTGTTCACAGATATTGTAAAACAAAATGTTGACCTTACAGAATGCTTGGGACTGTGTACTGAAGAGCTATAAGGCTGACGGCGTGCGGGTATTCACCAGAGGCTTTTGGATGATGTCTGTGAGAGCTTTCCCAGCCAACGGTGCCATCCTACTAGGCTACGTCACGTCCCTAAACATGATGAGGACTCTTGTTGGCACTCCGGGGCAAGACCCACAAGCTGAAGCTGTATTTGTATAATTTACATTTTTTAGAAGTGTGCTTGTTGGAGTTGGTATTTTTAGTTTTCGTGATTTAATAAACATTTCCTAATTCAATATATTGCAACTACTTCCTTTCCTTTACCGTAGCCAGTCTGTTCTGGCTAATAGGTACGATATATATATATATATATATATATATATATATATATATATATATATATATATATATATATATATATATATATATATATATATATATATATATATATATATATATATATATATATATATGGGCTACATTTGACCACATTGCTGGCATTGTTTATCTTATAGTAAAAGTTTTCTCTGTTTCGAAGTTCATGATAGAGAAACTCGTGTAATTATTGAAGGATTTATTTTCTACAACGTTTTGTTCCACTTTGGAACATCTTCAGGTAAGGAATAAATACATATGTGGAAGAGGTGAAGTAATCAGTCATAAGGAAAGAAATAGTGAATGGATGCACCAATCAAACATTAGCCACTCTAATGTAGAGGCAACTTGAGTGTAAAATATTTTAAAAATATTTGAAAAAATTATTTACAAACAGATCTACTCCTACCTTGAAAAATTCAACATATTAAGTCCCTGTCAGTTTGGCTTCCGCCCCTCCCCCTCCCCTAAAAGAAAAAGAGTACCAATGATGTTATTATTAGTCTGCTTGATATAATCTACACAGCCCTTAACAAAAATGAGTTCCCAATTTTCCTCTCCATTGACCTAAGTAAGGCTTTTGATACTGTAAATCTTAACTACCTCTTACTTAAACTTCACCATTATGGAATCCGAGGCCTTGCTCTGAACTATATTCGATCCTATCTTGGTGACACACTAATATGTAGCCATCAATTGCAAGCCCCCCCCCCACTCTACAATTGACAGTAGGGGTGTCACAGGGCAGCATCCTAGGACCCCCTCCTATTTCTTACATACATCAATGATCCTGATGTCTCTAACATTCTTAAACCTATATTATTTGCTGACGATACTACCCTCATCTACTCAGACCCCAACCCACACACATTAAATAATGTTGTAATTAATGAATTAAAAAAGTTTTCTTATGAATGTCAACCAACAAACTCACACTAAATATAGAAAAGACCTACTATATCTTATTTGGAAGCAAATCAACAAATGCAATTCAGCTTCAGATAGACAATGTTAACATCAGCAATAAAAATGATGGAAAGGTACTTGGCCTCTACTTAAACAAGAGATTCAACTTCAGCACCCACAAACAACACATAACTAAGAAAGTCTCTAAAACAGTTGGTATACGCTCTAAAATCAGATATTATGTACCTACCTCTGCTCTCCTCTCACAATACTACGCACTAATCTATCCCTATCTTACTTACGGTATCGGTGCATGGGGTTCAACCACTGCATCGTCACCCAGCAAAAATCTGCTATCAGAACAATAACAAACTCTGCTTTCAGACAATACTCAGCCCCCCTTGGGTAAATCCCTAAACATGCTAAACAAAAACTCACTCCAAACATTGCCTTGCACCATTTACATCTACAAAACCCTGTTCTTAAATGCAAACCTTGTTTTGAAACTCTCCCTGGACAGATGTAATAGAACCCATAATCACCACACCAGAAATCAATATCTCTTTGGTATCCCCAGAGTCAAACTTAATCTGTTTAATGATGACAAATAATAATTTAATCTGTGTAAACACTCTATGCAAATAAAGGAGCCTAGTCTATGGAACTCACTGCCTAACGAATTGAAAAGCTGTATAACTTTTGCCTTATTCAAAATCAAAACCAAAAAGTACCTAATTTCATCTGCATTGATTTCTACTTAGTGCTTTAAACTCGCATTGTATCTAGTGCTATTCAATCCCCCAATATATGTGCCTAAGCTATATAACTTTACCATTGTAATCATTGATATCATCTTATATCATGGTTGTTATATTGAACACATATTGTGTGCTACCCCAATCCCTTAATTTATATGTACCTAATCATACAACTTTACCTTATCATTGCTGTCATCTTATATGTGCTATCAATGTGTTTAATGTGCCTTCTAATCCTTGTCAAATTATCAATCAAGCTATCAGTGCTTTCAATTAAAGCTATCAATGTGCTTTAATGTGCCTACTAATCTTTGTCAAATTTTCTTACAATGTATCTGTTAACATTTTATAAATTTTGCTAGAAATTACCTATTTAATATTATCTGTTAGATTAAGGACCCGAAACGGTATGTGTACTTGTGGCTTTACAAGAATGTAAACGCACAGGCTATGTACTCACATACACCCAATGTACCTTCTTGTATATATATAAATAAATAAATATATAAGGGGATAAACCTTAAATTTACTCTAATGCACCTGCTAATCCTGTCAAATTTCTTGTACAATGTATTTTTTACCCCTTCTTACAATGCATCTTTATACAATACTTTCTTACAATGTATTTTTTATACTTTCTTACAATGTACCTGTAAATATTTTCTAATTTTGCTAGAAATAACCTTCTTAAAATTATTTGTTAGGTTAAGGACCTGCCCGAAACGATATGCTTGCTAGTGGCTTTATAAGATTGTTTAACTTCAATGCTCTGTACTCTCATAAACCCAATGTACCTTCTTGTATATAAATAAATAAATAAATACATATTAAGTCACTGTACATCCTCTGAAGTGTATTCTATATATATATAAAACTCTGAACTGTAATGCCAATCCTGGCCTTAAACGCTTCCCAGAAGGTTGTAGCAGAACCCATGAGCACCACACTAGAAACAAATACCTATTTGATATTCCAAGAGTGCGCCTCAACCAAACTAGAAATACTCTACAGATCAAGGGACCCAGAATGTGGAATGACCTTCTTAATCATGTCAAAGGCTGAACCTCTCTCAACCAGTTTAAGGGACAAACTAAGTGCTACCTTATAAACTCCATGTAACCTGCCTTACCTCCTAAATGTCAACCTATGTCTTGCTATTTCAAACAATATTGATTATTGACTTGTTTAACTGCTGATATCTGTCATGTATAAGCGATTGAAGAAATTTTTAAACTGTTTATTCAGTTAAAATTCCTTCTGCTGTTCTGTTGCATTTCTGCTGATTCATCCATCATGTAATTATCATTCTCCTTTTCTTGTTTTATTTTTTTCAATTCAATTTATACTTTTGTTCTCAATTAATATTAAGTTTTAGTTTAAGTTTTACCCCCACACCTTGCCTGAAACTCTGTGCGTATTAGTGGCTTCAGGCATTATACTCACCTAATTGTACTCACCTAGTTGTGCTTGCGGGGGTTGAGCTCTGGCTCATTGGTCCCGCCTCTTAACTATGAATCAACTGGTTTACAGATTCCTGAGCCTACTGGGCTCTATCATATCTACATTTGAAACAGTGTGTGGAGTCAGCCTCCAACACATCACTGCCTAATGCATTCCACCTGTTAACTACTCTGACACTGAAAATGATTTTTTCTAACGTCCCTGTGGCTCATTTGGGTACTCAGTTTCCACCTGTGTCCCCTTGTTCGCGTACCCCCCGTGTTAAACAGTTTATCCTTATCTACCTTATCAATTCCCCTGAGAATTTTGTAGGTAATGATCACGTCTCCCCTTACACTTCTGTCTTCCAGAGTCGTAAGGTGCATTTCTCGCAGCCTTTCTTCGTAACTCATGCCTCTTAGTTCTGGGACCAGTCTAGTGGCATACCTCTGAACCTTTTCCAGCTTCGTCTTGTGCTTGACAAGATACGGGCTCCATGCTGGGGCCGCATACTCCAGGATTGGTCTTACATATGTAGTATACACTTATAATAAACAGAAGCTACCCTGTGGCTCTGTAATATCTCCATTGGTCAAACTATTATGTATTAGCGATAAGACCTACCATTAATGTATAATGACTTACTGTAAATATATAGCTCTTGAAATAGCACTTTGTAACTAGCTGACATTGTAACTATAAGGTGTGAAGGATAGATGAAATTGTTTATGTAATAATCTAAGATGAGGTCTGATAAAGACCTTTTGTGCCCTCTGTAATCCTTTTTGCGCTATCGCTCACAGGATGAGTATGGGGTGCACAATAAACTAGCCAACTCCGGCGGCAACAGTCAAATCACTACCACTCCCGTTGTCAACAACAGGACACGTAGCGTCACTACCACTCCCGTTGTCAACAACAGGACACGTAGCGTCACTACCACTCCCATTGTCAACAACAGGACATGTGGCGTCACTACCACTCCCGTTGTTAACAACGGGACACGTAGCTTCACTACCACTCCCGTTGTCAACAACAGGACACGTAGCGTCACTACCACTCCCGTTGTCAACAACAGGACACGTAGCTTCACTACCACTCCAGTTGTCAACAACAGGACACGTAGCTTCACTACCACTCCCGTTGTCAACAACAGGACACGTAGCTTCACTACCACTCCCGTTGTCAACAACAGGACACGTAGCGTCACTACCACTCCTGTTGTCAACAACAGGACACGTAGCGTCACTACCACTCCCCTTGTCAACAACAGGACACGTAGCGTCACTACCACTCCCGTTGTCAACAACAGGACACGTAGCTTCACTACCACTCCCGTTGTCAACAACAGGACACGTAGCTTCACTACCGCTTCCGTTGTCAACAACAGGACAAGTAGCGTCACTACCACTCCCGTTGTCAACAACAGGACACGTAGCGTCATTACCACTCCCGTTGTCAACAACAGGACACGTAGTGTCATTACCACTCCCGTTGTCAACAACAGGACACGTAGCGTTACTACCGCTCCCGTTGTCAACAACAGGACACGTAGCTTCACTACCGCTCCCGTTGTCAACAACAGGACACGTAGCTTCACTACCGCTTCCGTTGTCAACAACAGGACACGTAGCGTCACTACCACTCCCGTTGTCAACAACAGGACACGTAGCTTCACTACCACTCCAGTTGTCAACAACAGGACACGTAGCTTCACTACCACTCCCGTTGTCAACAACAGGATACGTAGCGTCACTACCACTCCCGTTGTCAACAACAGGACACGTAGCTTCACTACCACTCCCGTTGTCAGCAACAGCACACGTAGCTTCACTACCACTCTCGTTGTCAACAACAGGACACGTAGCGTCACTACCACTCCCGTTGTCAGCAACAGCACACGTAGTTTCACTACCACTCCCGTTGTCAACAACCACGTAGTTGTACTTTAGCTTTTGGTAAATTCTTTATTACCGTAATATTATAATATACAAGTATTATTATACAGGAACATGAATTATAAGGAAGAAAGTACTAAACTAGGATGACTATATAGCTCTTTATTATAATTAAAATACTATAATTTATTATACAAAAAAATTTCGTTTTACAGGACTTTTTCTGTGGTTAGAGAGCTATCGGTGCATCCGATGTTAGGTCTAACACCGGATAGAGCCTCAGCCCTGGTGAGGATAGGGATTGCTGTTGCGCTCAAAGACAGCTTTTTCTGCTGTGAAAGTTATATTGGTGTATCGGAGGATGTCATATCCGATCATGTATTCTATATCATAAAGCTGCAGGATGTATACGTCTGTGTGGAATGTAAGACCTTGGAATTTTATTTCTGCGTTCCTTATGACGTGTTTTGTTCCTAATGTATTATCGTGCAAATTTGTAACTTCTTTCAGTGCACACGATTCAATTTTAAGACCCAGTTTTCTGGCACGACGTCTGCTCATAGTTGTTATGGAGGCACCAGTGTCCAGAAAAGCCTTCGATCTCTTGCCGTTGATTTTGGTTTTGAGTCTGATGGAATCGTAGTTTGTGACAAAGTACTTCGTGTTATCCTCCAACTTGTGCTTTTTCACTGGCCGCATTATTAGTCGGGGATTTGTCAGGTCATTGATTATTGTACAGTTATGTGCAACTAAAACATCCATGCCCAGTAAGGATTCATCTGCGGGTACATCAGCAACATAGATCTCTGTATCCAGGGATAAATGTGCTCTCCGGAAATAAGGTTTAGCTTTCAGGACCCCCGTGTAGATCTTTGAGAGATCCATTTGCTTCCACTCGTTATCATCTATGTCTATGGACTCCATTTTATTTAAACGCTTAAAATCCTTGCCCATTACGGCCTCCAAGCCATGTTTCTTCATAATGGGAACCGTGACGAGGGTGTCGCGTGAGCCGGTGTCCACCGCGAAATTAACTCTCTGCCCTTCTAGCTGTACAGATACTAACATATGATGGCCGGCCCGGTGAAGAGGGATAGACGCCTCTTGTGATGCTCGTTTCTTGTGTCCCATTGTTCCGCTTGATAGTTTTATACATAACTGTCGTTAGGAAACCTGACCTGTTGCTTATATCCGTGATACAATTTATTTAGTTAGGCGGCAATAGTGTCCACGACGACGCCGCTGGCCTCGTCGAGGTCACAAAATAGTTACTTCAGGGCAACCATTTACTCTTGCAAACGAGAGTGGTAGACGGTTGGAAGAAGTTAAGTGAGAATGTGGTGGTCAAAACTGTTAGTTTTATTTATTTACTTATTTATTTATATATATACAAGAAGGTACATTGGGATTGTGAGGATACATAACATAGTAATTACATTCTTGTAAAGCCACTAGTACGCGCAGCGTTTCGGGCAGGTCCTTAATCTAAGAAACTTATAAGCAGGTAAATACTTGCAAAATTTATAAAAATTATAACAATTAATTATTGTTTCTAAGCGTTAGGTAATTATTAAAGTGGACTGGATTAATGTCCTCCAAATTGTTTAGCATTTTAAATTTTTGGTGAGGTCCGCTCTGTCAGTCCTTCTGTCCTGTGGCCCTCAACCACAGACTCAGGATTCAAGTTCAAGTTCAAGTATGTTTATTGAGATAAGAAAGAAATACATCTCAAAGGGATAGAGTAGCTTAGGCTATTTTTACCCCCCTACAGACTCGGGAGAGTACGATAGACTTGGTGTAAATTTCGTACATAAATTTCACTTATACACAAGTGTTTAACATAATATCCTATGTTATTATGTCTGTGAGAAGACATTACCGTAATTAGTAATTATTATTATTGTTTTTATTTTTATTATTGTTATTATTATTAAGTCACAATGATGGACTGAGAACGGATGCTTTCTCAGTCACAAGGTTATGAACCCTGCAACGAAAATGTATGAATCAATCAATATGTAGTATACAAGATTCTGAATGATTCCTTACACAGGTTCCTGAAGGCAATTCTGATGTTAGCCAGCCTTGCATACGCCGTTGATTGTGTGTACTAACTCTATCTATAAATCCAACATTATGTTTGTAACTCATTTTATATGTTAGATTAAGGACCTGCGTTTATTCGTGTTAGTGGCTTTGCAAGAATGTAAGAACGTCAATGTTATGTACTCTCACAAACCCAATGTACCTTCCTGTATATAAATAAAAAATAAAAAATAAATAGTTTTTTAGTTCATTTATTATGCACCCCATACCCATCCTGTTGGCGATAGTGGAAATGGTTACAGAGGCACATAATGGGCTCAGGGATTGAACCCTAAAATTCATTTAAATAAGCAAGTTACAGTCTTGATGAGGTAGTTACAAAATTCAATGATTAAATAAATAAATAAAGTGTCCCGTCAAAACGATCACGTGTACGAAGGTGTGTATTGTGGGTACGAAGAGAGAGAGTGATGCCGTGTACGACGTGACCTGCGGGGTCTGGCTACAGCATAAGGGTCGTCCTGGTCACTAATGACCAGTTATACTGTCACTGTCACGCTGCCAGTCGTGCTGTCACCTCACACCAGTTAGTTATACTGTCACGGCTTGCTGGTCAGTCACACCTGACAAGTTAGACTGAGATATGATTTTATTTGTGATGACAACGGCTCTAGGATGTGCTGGAGTTGTCCTGCCCTCGCTGGTGCACTACGTGAGTATATGGCTGCCCTCGATATACTACCCTCATGGGTTGCCCTCAAGTGCTACCCTCAAGGGCTGTCCTCAAGGGTTGCCCTCAAGTGCTACCCTCAAGGGCTGTCCTCAAGGGCTGCCCTCAAGGGTTGCCCTCAAGGGCTGTCCTCAAGGGTTGCCCTCAAGTGCTACCCTCAAGGGCTGTCCTCAATATGCTACCCTCAAGGGCTGCCCTCAAGGGTTGCCCTCAATATGCTACCCTCAATATGCTACCCTCAAGGGCTGCCCTCAAGGGTTGCCCTCAAGGGTCGCCTTAAAGGGTTACCCTCGAGGGCGACCCTCTGATCCTTCTCAGGCTCTTCGACAATGCTCGCATTTCAATTGCCAAAATCGTATATAATATTAATTAATAGCATATATCATTAGGTTGGGCTGTGTTGAATTAGTTTGGGTTAGGTTAGGTTTGGTTTATAAATGTACTCGCCTAGTAATGTGTAAATGTGTTGATGAAATGAGTTGTGTATGAAGTAGCTTTCATATATGTATGTGTATATGTGTGTGTGATTACCCAAGTGTGGTTACAGGATGAGCTACGTGGACATCTTCAAGAGAAAACTAGATAGGTTTTCATGGAGTGCCGGACCAACCGGGCTGTGGTGGATATGTGAGCCTGCGGGCCACTCCAAGCAACAGCCTGTTGGACCAAGCTCTCGCAAGTCAAGCCTGGCCTCAGGTTGGGCTTGGGGAGTAGACGAACTCCCAGAACCCCATCAAGCAGGGATCTTGATGGGGGTTCTGGGAGTACTTCTACTCCCCAAGCCCGACCCGAGGCCAGGCTTGACTTGTGAGAGTTTGGTCCACCAGGCTGTTGCTTGGAGCGGCCCACAGGCCCACATACCTACCACAGCCCGGTTGGTCCAGCACTCTTTGAAAAAAACTATCTAGTTTTTTCTTGAAGATGTCCACGTTTTTTCTGGCAATATTTCTTAGTCATTGGAAGGATGTTGAACAACCGCGGACCTCTGATGTTTATACAGTGTTCTCTGATTGTGCCTATGGCAGCCCTGCATTTCACTGGTTCTATTTGGCATTTTCTTCTATGTTGTTCACTCCAGTAAGTTGTTATTTTACTGTGTAGATTTGGGACCTGGCCCTCCAGTATTTTCCATGTGTATATTATTTGACATCTCTCTCTCGTCTCCTTTCTAGCGAGAATATTTGGAGCTTTGAGATGATCCCAATAATTTAGGTGCTTTATCGCACCTAATGTATGCTGTACATGTTCTCTGAACTCGCTTATTTCAGAAATCTCTCCTGCTCTGAAGTGGGAAGTGAATACTGAGCACTACTTAAGATGAGACAACGCAAGTGATTTGAATAGTACTGTACAACCATCGTGATGGATTCCCTGGATTTGAAAGTTCTCGTAATACATCTATCATTTTTCATATTTGCTTGGTTATGCTCCCTAAACGTTAGATCATCAGACATTATTCCCAAATCCTTGACATCCTGTTTTCCTACTATGGGCAAATCTGATTGTGTTTTATACCCTGTATTATGTTTAATGTCCTCATTTTTACCGTACCAGAGTACCTGGAATTTATCACTGTTAAACATCATGTTATTTTCTTCTGCTCAGACGAAAACTTTTTTGTTATGTTTGCAGTTCTTCAATGTCTAAAGCAAAGATAATTTTCATGCAGATTTTTGTTTCGTCTGCAAATTATGATACGAAGTTGTAACTCGTATTTGAGTTTATATCTGATATGAGAATAAGGAAAAGCAGTGGTGCAAGGACTGTACCCTGAGGTACAGAGCTTTTAACTGTGCTTGGACTCTATTTTATATGGTTGACTGTTACTGTGTTCTGCTCGACAGAAAATTGAGTATCCGCCATCCTACTTCAACAGTTATTCCCATTGACCTCATTTTGTGTGCACATTTATTGAATACCTTTGCGAAGTCCATGTATACTACATCTGCTTTCTGTTTTTCTTCCAATCCCTCGGTGATTTTGTCATAGTGGTCAAGTAGCTGTGAGACGCATGATCTTCCTGCTCTAAATTCATGTTTGCCTGGGTTGTGAAGGTCATTGGTCTCCATGAAACTAGTGACCTGACTCCTGTTCACTCTCTCAAATACTTTTATTATGTGGAACATTAGTACAACTGGTCTATAATTCTTTGCCAATGCTTTGCTCTCACTCTTGTGTAGAGGGGCTATGTCTGCTGATTTAAGTGCATCTGATATATCTCCTGTGTCCAAGCTCTTCCTCCACACTATACTAACTACCTGTGCTACTGGCACTTTTCATTTCTTTATAAATATTGAATTCCATGAGTCTGGACCCAGGGCTGACAGCATGGGAATTGGGTGATGGCACCTCTTAATTTAAGGTTAAAGCTAGAATATTCAGATTTTAATAATGTTATTTACATCGCCATGAAAGTTAATCAATGTGTGTGCTGATAACTCATTCCACAGGTATTGCGTGCAATAGGCGGAGAAGGCGCGGCTGAACGCCAGATACGTCACGAAGTTGGCAAGTTGAAGCAACAGTTGCAGAACATTAGCATGGTAGACCAGTTTGCTACTTATGCTCGAGTGCAACGGAAGATCAATTCTCTTAACCAGCTATATAAAGGAAAAGGTATTTTAAAAACATCTGCCATTTTATTTTATTTTATTTCTATTTATAAGAATATCCCTTTTGTATGTAAAAATTAACCTTTCATGTTCTGCAACTTTTTTTCCTACTAATGATGATTTATCCAGGAAGTTCTTAAAAAATAAGATATAATGTACCTGCCCTTGTATAAATTATAAATTGTTTCATGAAAGGTGAGATTATAATGCAGCTCATATTATACTTGACCGTTTGTATATGTGTCATAAGCCCCGCTATGTGCATGGGATGTTTTCCAGTAAACTTTGTTTCTAGCAAATTTGTGGAAAATTTATTTAATGATTTATATGGATTACATTAGAATGCCTTTAAGAAATTTCTGGATATAAACTTTTTTCTCTCGTGTCTCTATATACTGTTACGCCTATTTGAACATTGTTATTAATCGCTTCCTCTGTGTCTCGGCCACAAATATTCCTTATAAAGTCGATTTGCATAGCACCTGCCAATCACATAGATGAGAGTAAGCATTACCTTACTTTTCTTTGGATGTAGTAAGCATTACAGAATGATTGGAATTTTCCATGACGCAAGAATATACTGTACAGTAATGCAGAAAGTGCATTCAGCACATAGCAACCTTCACCAACTTTCATTAAGCTTGCTAAGCATGCTAGGTTAGCAAATTTTGGTTTTAAATACCTAACTAGTGTATTGGAACTGTTGGCTAGTTATTGTATTTATTTTTTAATATAATTTTACAGTACACTTCAGTAGTAGAAGGCTGTGCTTGACACATTTTTTAAATATTTTATTATACTTGATACCTATCATTTTCTGTTGCTTTTTTTTTTTTTTTTTTTAATGCTGCAAGAATTTTTTTTTTTTTGTTAATAAAAAGAAATAAATTTCTCATGATCCTGTTACTAAAATAAATTCAGTATTATTAAACTCGAAGTTTGTATAAAAATTATGGTAAATATTTCAGTAATGGAACGTTCAATGGGAGAGCAGCGAGTGCGTCTGGTCCTAGGAGGGATGCTGCGAGCTGTGGTTGGCTTCCTGTGTGTGTGGCTGGTCTGGGAGCATCAAGGTGACCCAGTGTTCTCCCTCTCACCTGACCTAGTGTGGCCACTTGGAGCACTCTTATCTTTTCCAGGATGCCAGTTAGGACAGGTAAGATGTGAAGACCAGATGAATGAAAATAAATTTACTGTATTAAACTAATTATATTTACTTTGCAGTGTGAGCATCTCTTATCAACTTGTATGAAAATTTATTAATATGGTTTACAGCCAAAAGGTCTTGTGTCTGATTACTGTAATAAGATGAAAATGTTTGGGAACATTTCCTTTTACTGATGCCTCCGTTCATGCTGCATTAATGTTTCACACTTTTCCTTTTCATTTTCCATTAATCTGTTTACCATTTTCAATCTCTGAATATTATCCTTTACCTGCAATTTGCTTTTAATGAATTCATATAATAGGCCAGGTTTTGTTTTATACTTATCCACTATCCCTTTCTCAAAATTTCTTTCTGCCTCTATTCTCACTGCAGTGTAGTCGTTTCATGCATTTGTATTGCTGGTATGTTTTAGGGTTTGGCCTCTTCCTGTATCTTCTTGTTAGTGAAGGGTGAGGTATGGCTCAAATGGTATATGGTATTTGGTGGGAGATGGATTAGAAAATTATATTAAGCAAAGATGCTTTGGATTCCTTAGAACTAATATCAGCAAAGTGGGTTCTTTTGTTGGTAGGCAAATGGTAGTAAAAAATGGTGGTAGTAGTTGGTAGGCAATAAGGATCAAAACCATTATCGGATAGGTTACTGTAGTGTGTGGTTGCCCTGGAGCAATAGTTGTCATTAAAGAGAGTTGACACTTGTTGATTGTTCATGTGTCAATGTGTTGTCACTTATGAGGGATTCTGTGCCATAGTTTTCAATGCTGTCAGTCAAAACATCCCAAGTTCAGTTCTCACAGAAGAGCAGAAACATTTAACCAATGCTTCTTTTCACCCGATACCTCTGTTCATCTAGCAGTAAATGGGTACCCAGGAGTTGCACAACTGATGTGGGTTCCATCCTTGAGAGACAGTAGTCGGCGAAGAAGGAATTTGACAAGCCACGAGGCTACCTATCCCAGACTGTAGGGAACCGAACCCAAACTAATTTTCTCTGCTGACCTTTATAAATTACTTTCCAACTTCTATTACAGTTTTAGCCACTTCATGCTCCCTTGTACTAAGATTATTTCTATGCATTCTGTAATGTGTCAGTGATCCTTGAGTATTTTCTGTAAAGCCTTCTAAATTTGTCTTTATTTGGGGGTGTTATCTAAGGCTTATGTAGTATATTTCTTGTTATAGTTTTTGGTAGCCTGATTGAGTTGAACTTGAGACTTTATTAACAGTCAGCAGGAAATTATACATTGCCTGTTTACATCACCAACAAGAAAAGAAAATTATTTATAATTTTCCCTCCCATTTTATCTGAACATCACACTCATATTTCCAACTAGTTAAGCTGCATGAATTTACTTACAGAAAATATGTATATTTTGAATAAAAACAAGACATCACTAGTTAATTTCAGGAGAAAGAATGAAACTATGAATAATAACTACTGTATATTGCATAGAAATTACATTTTATACAAAGGGAAGGATTGCCATGCAGTTATGATTCGGGAGATATATACTGTATACATATATAATCAGTTTTATTTGTTACACCATTGCAGATAAGCGTAATGATGTGGTTGGGTGTGGTACGAACAGCGTGCAGCAGAATGGCGAGCTCTATGACTGCCAGTACTGTGAGAACTGGTCCACAGTTGGTTCCACCAGTCTTTGCTCAGTCTGCAACACCAGTTGCTCCTCCTTTAGACTGATGTGTTTTCCCATTTAATATCTCCAGGTAAAGCTCATTACTATGCATTGGCCACATTGTTTGCTTGGGTAAATAATTTTATATTTTAATACCTGTTGTTAAATATTAAGAATTTTATCATTCTTTCAAGACTTGAAAAAAAAGAGGAATTAATTTTAATGGTGAAGTTACATTTTACAACTGAATGCAAGATGCAAGAACAGTCTAGACTTAGTTATTAGGCCCCTCCCTCTCATTATTATATGTTGTTTTAAAGTAAACCTTTATATTTTTATTAGATTATTAATAATTTATAGTCGGTTTGAGGATATTTGTTTGTTCTAGAACACATTTTTGTCAGTTTAAATAAAACCTACATGAAACTATGTTTATATTGTCCATTGGAGTGGTGTTTTTCTTCACTACTGTCAGTAGGCCTCATTGTGTGTGTGTGTGTGCAGATATGAGTAGAGCTTGGTGTTCATCTGTGTCGTTCCTCACTCCGTACAAACCTTCAAATTAATCACCAAGGTAGAGCAGGAAATCTTGGCACGTTGCTAGCACTTGAAATACATAGCGGCAGAACAGAAACGTTTGGGCTAGCTTCCTTTCACCAGATGTCTGTTCATCAAACAGTAAATAGATACCCAGGAGTTGGGCAGCTGTTGTGGGTTGCATCCTGTGGAAGGTCAGTAGTTGGCCTAGGGTAAGGATTCCCACCAGGGGTTGTTAATTCCCAGGATGAACAACCAGCATTTTTTCTTGGAGAATTGTTAAACATGCTTAGAGAAAAGTTTTCAAACCATACAATTACATAAAAAATTGCTAGGTCCATGGTAAAAGAAAAAAAAAAAAGGGGTGAAAAATTAAACAAGAATTTTCAGTGGAGAGAAACTGTATTTGGCATCATTCACTTTTATTCATTTAACAAATATTTGAAAATAGATTTCTTATTAATTTAACAAATATTTTAAAATAGTTTTCTTATTAATTTAACATTTTAAAATACATTTTTTATTAATTTAACAAATATTTTAAAATACATTTCTTGTTAATATACAAATATTATATTGTAGTTTGATTTATAAATAAATTTATTTATTTTAAGCTAAACTATATAATTTTATCACATAACAGATGAATATTTTTGAATGACAGTCGGTTACTCTTCCTATTACAAATGTTTCCTCAATTGTCTCTAAACAAGGAAACTAAATATTATGGTTATATGCATACTATGATCACCCTTAATCAGAAATACAGTATACAAAATATATTACTATGAACAAAACCACAAGGGCCGTGACGAGGGTTTGAACCTCGGCTCGGTCACGGCCCTTGTGGATTTCTTCATCTGATGCATCACGCTATTGTGATTTCTGCGTATATATTACTGTACTACCTTCAACTACCAATTGTGTAAATCCATATTTTAACCCTTAACCAGACAATTTACCAATTTAATTCTAACACATGACTAACATTTTCCAGTACCCAAAAGGGTGGTACCCAAAGCAATAAAAAGTACTGTATTACTGTAATGTATATTGCTGTACATTCAATTATTATAAGACTGCTGGTACAGTAATACATTTGGGAGTCTTGGACAAATGGTAAAACACTAAAGCTTGTGGAGAAAGAAGCGCAATACATTATTCAAAAACAATTGTTTTGAAATTGTGCATAAATTGATGAAAAAGTTAAATGTGGAAATGTGTGTCAGGGTGTGTATGCTGGGAAAGGTGAATGTGTGATGGGGAGTGTCAAGGCAAGGAATGTGTCTGGGAGTGTATGTCTTGGGATTGTGGAGACAGGAAGAGGCCACCTCAAATCTAAATCAATATGCCATGCAAATAATGGGACCTAAATATTTAAACTTCTATTATTAGAAAGGAATTGTACAACATACACACAATTTTAAAAATAATGAGGCTTCTAAGTGCCTTATTATAGTACCATGCCCTATTTTTTTTCATTATGCAATCCCTAGTATTGATTCACGTTTACCCGGTGAATCTCGCATTGCTGTTAGGAAGGTAGTTTCAGGAAACAAGGGAAAGGGAAGAATGTCAAGGTCATTGTGGGCCTAATGGTTAAACTTGCTAGGAGCAAGGAACTCCGCATGGCAACCTTGAAGCGGGTAGATGAATTGAAGGACGAAAGTAATCTCAAAGGGGGGGGGGAGAACTTTAAATGGGTTACAAGACAGAATAATGGCAATAGGAGAGGAAGGAAAGCAAGAAGGGCAATGGAGAGAATATTGCAGAGAAATGGTGAACATGCGATTATGTAGTTCAATTTTGGTCACCATATTGCATAGACAAATTCACTTGAATGAGTAAAGAAAATAATGGCAAAATTAACCCCAACAATGAAAAACCTCCTTTTTGAAGAGATTATGAAAGCTTAATTTACATTCTTTGGAAAGGCCAAAACGAAGAGGCGACATGATTGAAGTATACACACGTGAAAGAATATAGTATAGGGAATATGAATGTGTTAAATATCAATACAAAATAAGACAAACACTGGATATACACTAATGTAAATTGGATAAATTCAGGAAGACCTGGGTAAATGTGGATTGGAAATAGGTTGGTTGATTTATGGAACAAATTACCAGCTAACATAATAGACATGGAATTACTGGATGGTTTCATGTGCAGGTTAGACACACTACTGTACTATATGAGTTTGGGTAGATATAAAGAGGGAAGGCCTTGCAGGGGCCAGTAGTCTTTCTGCAGTTTTAGGTCTTGTGTTATGCCCGTGAGCAGATCAATTATTATTAACATCTTTTGTGACAAAATACACACTTGCCTAATCAGAGGCTTAATTGCCTAATTCAACTAGGTCTTGTTACAGTGAGGTGCTGCTCGTATTCATTGCCACACAAGACAGAGGATCATAAACAAGACAATAGGCCTAAATTGTAGACTGAAGCACACAAATGTTTCATGAGGTTACATGATGCTACATCAGATATAATACACCTTTCAGTTTATGAATTTGTAAATGCAACTTTCTATTGTTCATTACCACACAAGGTAAGGATGAATCCGTGAGCTTAAAATAATAATAAATAAAATTTTCATTCCTAATTCTTTAGAATGGACAAGCAATTTTTTGATAAATTATTAGAATGTCTTCCAATATACCAGATACAGTTAATAACTACATATCTATATACCAATAGATATTCTATTGGTATATAGAAGAATATACCAACTGGGCTGTAGTGGATATGTGGGCATACAGGCAGCTACAAGCAACAGCCTGTTGGACCAAGTTACCACAAGTCGAGCCTGGCCTGAGGCCAGGCTTGGGGAGTAGAAGAACTCCCCAGGTAAATTATGTTATTCTTAATACTCTAAGATCAATCTCTATCTATAAAAGAAGATTTCTGTTTGTCAATCCAAGGCTGTATGCCAGATGCTTGAGGCTAGCCACATTAAAATTTGCAGTGTGACAGGCGAGTGTTAGGGGACTATGGGTTGGTCTGGGTCAGCCCCATGGTGCCCCCATGACTTCAAGAAATGAAATGGTGGTTCTGAGTATGAGTTTCATCAGTTAAAATATTAAAGGTACAGTATGTATTGCCGTGCAAAATGCATGATCTGATGGCAAATTTGTATTTCTGTAGTCCCCCAACAATTAAATGGCATGATCTTTTGGAGTCAATCAGGCACCACAGGGTACCTCATCTAGTAACATACAGGGTATTTAAATTCTAAATTGACTAATTCTGATACAATAGAATGTAAATATTTGATTTGATACATATCTAACATCAGGGATATTTATCACCTTAGATCATACTTTACTGCACAGTTTCATAAGACTAACATTATAAAGGAAACTACACAATACCTACTGGCCCATATGAGGCAGTAACTATTTATATCCGCCAAAACTCATTCATGTCTGTCTAGTTTATGCTTGAATCAATCCAGCAATCCCACTTCTATTATTACCCAGTAATTTGTTCCATAATCAACAATCTTACTGTTCTAAAGTTGGTATTACTGGGCAACATCCTAAAAATTTAATTATAAGGCAAAAATTGCTATCAGTTTTTTTTATTTGCAGCTGATCATCAAACTAGGTAGGGTGCATCCAATGCTCCAATTGCCGCTGCCTAAATCAACAAGCTAAGCATGTGCTAGACAGTAGATAAAGGGAAAGGTCATATACAGATAGTTAACTATCTTATACTAGTATTATACTGTATCACAGTGCTTCACACTTGAGCCTTATGCAAGTACTTAATTATATTGTTTATGACACCTTTATGTTTTGTGACACGTGGTTTTCCATTTTCATCTTCTTGACTGAGAAGTGCCGCTACTCCATCATGGCTGTCTTTCTCATAAGCACTTTTTACATCTGCGAGCGTGAGTCCCAAACGTGCCATTTTTGTTGCCATTCCATCTGATACACATTTCATGTTAATCATTTTTATGAATGTTTCTTTCTTAATCATGCATTGCAAATCATTAAACCATTTATTGTAAGAAGACATGAAGGTACAAGAAGAATCAGCAATGTTGTGAGGCTGTGTAGTATGGTATAATTCTTTAAGTAATTTTGCATCTTCGACAGCATTGTGTTGTTCATATGACTTTTTAAGGAATTTACCAACTAGAGTCTTTTGCTTGTAGTTAACAAGTCCGGGATATTTAGACTTAAACATTTGCACAGTGTCAACAAATCCAATTATATGTTTCTCAAATTGTTTTACGAGATTTTCCTCATAAATTGCACGGAACAACCGTGTATAATCAAACTGTGCCTTATGGGCAAAAAGAAGAGCAGGTGATCTTAATTCCAGCCATTTCAAAAATTTTTCCAAAGCAACTACACGAGATTTTGCCTCCACCGGCCTACCATGAACCTTCAGTATCCCATTATCACAGGTGATTCCTGTAAGAATTGATGCCGTGGGATTCATTTTCTGGCTTGGAGTGACATACTCATTAAAAACTTCATTTTTATCTACTGCAGCAATTTGCGTGATATCGCAAAACAATCTCAAAGATGTAGTTTCTACATCAAAGAAGACGAGGTTGGCAGTACATGATCCAGAAACTGTCTGACGAACTGGCTGCACCTTCTTCACAGGTAGTTTTTGAGGTGCAACACAAATAGATCCATCAAAGGAATTAGGTAATGCCTTATTTGGAATTATATCAATATCTTTTTCCAAAACTTTGTTTTTACTTAAATTCAGTTTCTTGGCATTATTCTTCAAGTCTTCCTTTGAATCTTTGCCTTTTCTCTTCCGACAGACTGCACGTTCGTTTATGAATTGATCTTCAAGTACTTCTAGTGCACGTTTATTCATTGCTAGGTTTTTCAAACTACTGTTACTAATGAGCAAATTCTTTGTAACCCTAATTAAAATGGGGGAAGATTAAGCAAAAAGCAAGTTAGTTGTATTAGGCACTTATCAGCTGAACAACTGCTTAATATGATGGCTGGAACCTCTCAAGACAATAAAGGAGTAGTATTGACTTGGCAGACGTGGCACCTGAAAAACAACAAAATGGTTTGTGTCAACCTAGAGAAGAAATGTTATGTATTATATAGATTCTTAAAGAAAATTTTATAATTTTGCTAAATCACCTTCATTTAAACAAAGCTTGTTGGTAAAGTTCATAAATGACATTATTACCTTAAACGTTAAAAATTTCTGTCCTAACTCACTTATTGAATTATATGGGAAGGACGACCCCCCCCCTCCCCCAAACAAACAGAATTCTTACAGGGGGAAGTTCAAAAACAATATTCACAATTTTTTGTACCACAACTACCATAATTCTAACTAACTAATTTGGAAATAATTCTTATTTCCATACTATAAAAATATAATTTAAGAGAAACTTCAGCTTAGCTTATTGTATTTTGTGTTTTTGTATGATACTGTAGGTCATGAAATGTGTTTTTTGAAAATTTATGTATCCTAATCTCCAGTTATCCGAATTTCTGTTTGGATTTGGGAAAGTGTGGTAGAAAATTATCTGAACCCGATATTGGCCGGATAACCCAAATTCAGCAGGCTTCAGATAACCAAGCTCATACAGTACTGTATATGGGTATAACTAAGCAGTCTCCGTGGTGTAGTGGTAAGACACTCGCCTGGCGTTCCGCGAGCGTTATGTCATGGGTTCGTATCCTGGCCGGGAAGGATTTACTGGGCGCAATTCCTTAACTGTAGCCTCTGTTTAATGCAACAGTAAAATGTGTACTTGGATGAAAAAACGATTCTTCGCGGCAGGGGATCGTATTCCAGGGACCATAGGATTAAGGATTTGCCCGAAATGCTACGCGTACTAGTGGCTGTACAAGAATGTAACAACTCTTGTATATAAAAAAAAAAAAAAAAAAAAAAAAAAAACTGATCAAATTATTTTCTTACAGCTAGCCAACTTGCTCCTGCCAATGGCCTGGGCCACTCGGACACTGGTGTTTGCTGGGACCTTACCCTACCACCACACACTGTACCCAGTCTCTCATGTACCACACAGCCAATTACGTAGTGATGGGGTATGGTCAAATCATACACAAGTTATATAAAAAAAAAAAACTTAGTTTACCATGTATTAGCTTAGGTTAGGCTAGGCTGAGTTAAGTTAGGTTGGGTTGGGGTAGGCTAAGCTAGGTTGACTTGGATTTTTGGCCCGGGTTTGGTTGGCTCGGGTTTGGTTGGCCCGGGTTTGGTTGGCCCGGGTTAGTTAGTCTGGGTTTGGTTGGGCAGTTTTTAATTAAAATCCGTTGGTGAACTGTCTTGTGTACGAAGTGACCAGCATCTGTAATGACCCTCACAAGAAGCAACCCGCAACAGTTGTGTAATGCCTATTGGTAATTATTGCTGTAAGGTACACAGAGGCATCAATAGAAAGAAAAATTACCCAACCGTCTCTGTCCTGTCCAACGAACCCTTGATCCGGTGAGTCAACGATACATCATAATATTTTTGTGAAGGGTCCAGCAATGGACGAGAAGTCTTATCTCACTATATTGTAATCAGCTCATATGAATATATCATTGGCCCCTAATGTTCATAACACCCGTGATATGATTAAAATATGTAATATTGTTCTAGCAGTTTGAGACACACACACACACACATGCTCACTACTCGCCAGACTCCAGGGTTACTGTACAACACTTACTGAGCAACACACCAGTAGTACGTCACCAACACTTTGCGTGCACGTATAAAGTGAAATACAGTGTTTAATTAGTGTATAATCAATTTCATAAGGAGACTCCGGCTTTGAAGGGCTCCACCTGCTGCCGCCAGCTGACCAGCCGGGATGTAAGGAGCTCCGTGATTGGTGGGGACCAGACGCTTGGTTGCCAGGTGCGAATTGCTGAAAGTAGCGAGCTGATGGTCTAAAAAGTAGCGAGTTTGTAATATAAGTAGCCCAATATTTTCTTTAGCGCCTGATATGATTTTCAGAGCAATATATTTTAATACATAGAGTAACTCTATATGATTTATGATTTTATTAATGTTATCGCTGCATTTATATAATAAGTGATAGTTGCATAACTTATTAATATTTGCTGCATGAAGCATAAATTACCTGAATTTTTCTGGTAAATTATGCTTCATGCAGCAAATATTATTAAGTTATCCAATTATCACGGTTTGTTTTATTATATATGGGTGTGGAATCCCTCCACGACTTCATCGTTGAAGACTACCAAGAACTTCGTCTGCATCTATAACCTCATTTTTGTATATTACAGACTCGACACATTTTATCACTGACATGCGTGGCTCAAATGATAAACATGTCTTTTTCTATCAAATGTTTTGATTCTCAAGATTGATGTCAAAAGTTATAGTCCCATTCGATTTCTCAATTTAGTTTTCACAGACGTTACTCTCGAAAATACTCATTCAACCCAGCCATTACCGATTAGTAAGCCGTATTTTCTGAGCTTAAAGGAAACACGCCATGCATGGGGACTTTTAATAGTAAAATTGCATAATATAAAGTATGTATGCAGGCGATGAGTCACAATAACGTGGCGAGTGCAAGGTCGCAAGTAGCGAGATTAAAATTTAAAACAGAGCGTTCAAAAGTAGCCCAATTCGCTACTTATAGCCAATCTGGCAACACTGCCGTGGCAGCCAATCACTTCTCTTCCCGCGGATATTAGACGAACTCATAGGATCCCTTTGGATCTCTGGATTACATGAACTTATTCAAATTCAAATGTTTATTCAGGTAAAGTACTTACATACAAGATGTGATACAAATATTGTTGAATTTATAGATGGAGCTAGTACATACAATGTCTAAAGCCACTATTACGCAGTGTTTCGGGCAGGAAAAACACTAAAGACTAAAAATACTAATTGAGATTAGAGTATAAAATGTGTTGAGAAAATATATAAATAAAAAGCATTCTTTAAAAAAATAGCAGACATGGGTTGACATTAAAAGGGTAAGGTAGGTTACAGGAGAGTTAATTAGGTAGTGCTTAGTTTTTATCTTAAACTGGTTGAGAGAGGTACAGTCTTTAACATGATTGGGAAGGTCATTCCACATTCTGGGGTCCCTTGATTTGTAGAGCATTTCTATTTTGATTAAGTCGTATTCTTGGAATATCAAAAAGGTATTTGTTTCTGGTGTGGTGCTCATGGGTTCTGTTACAACCTTCTAGGAAGCTTCCTAGCTTATAGCTAGTTTATAACTATAACTTTTTTATAACTAGTTTTTCATCTACACTTTGTAATCTTTCATATAGAGCTACATATTCCAGAACTGATCTAACAAAAGCTGCGAAGATTGCCTTGATATAGTACTAATTTAGGTTTCTAAACGATGTTCTAATGTTCGTCAGCGTCCCATATCCTGCCGATGTTGTCCTGTCATTGGTGTATACTGTATAAGAAACTGGAGAGGTCGTAAGATTCTTCCTTGCGACACTCAAGTTCAAGTATGTTTATTGAGATAAGAAATACATCTCAAAGGGATAGAGTAGCTTAGGCTATTTCTACCCCCCCCCTCCCCCCCCTCCCCCCCTCCCCCCCTCCCCCCCCTCCCCCCCCCCCCCTTTGTGGCACTCCTGTGGTTAATGAGTGAGAAAGGTTAACGTCATCGATGACTACATATATTGGTGTCTGTTGCTGAGATATGATCAGATATAGTTCAGAGTAAGGCCTCGAATTTCATAATGATGAAGTTTAAGTAAATGAGGTTATCATGATTTATTAACATGATAATGGGCCAGGATGAACAGAAACATCATTGTTTCTTCGTTTTCTGATGTGTGGTTTGATTATCATGATTTACGGTATCTAAAGCTTTACTCAGGCCAATGAGAACAACTGGAACCCGTTTTATCAAGGGTTATGTAGATTAAATCAAAGAAATTTTAAATTTTGATTTTGACTTGATTTTTTTTAACTATTAATGGCATCATTGGTCTTCTTTGGGATCTAAAGCTGAATATTTTGTCTGGCATCTCGAGAAGGGTAATTCGTCTGTAATTACCTGCTTGAGTTGGTGGGGGTGATGACAGTTAGGGTAGGGAAGTAGTGGTGCTGGTAGTGGTAGCGATGGTGGCGGGGGTGGTTGTAGTATTGGTGGTTGGGAGTGGTAGTGGTGCTGGTAATGGCCGTGATGGTGGTGGTGATTGGGGGGGGGGGGTTGTGGTGGTAGCGGAGGGGAGGGGTGGTGCAAGGGGAGGTACAGAGCCTCCTTCCGTGTATAACAATCAGTCACAATCCACCAACCGGACGTCTACCACCTTCCCTCCGCGTCTCCTGGTGACCCGTTATACACAGCGGTCTCTTACTCCAGGTCACCTCCCTCGCGCTCCCGCCTTTATTACGCCCTGAAAACTCATTTAATGAAATCCTAAATAACTGGAAGTGGTTCCGGAGACCATCGGGCCGTGCCCTCGGGCTCTCAATAAGTCGCACCTGGTGAGTATATATTTATCTTTAATTAAACATGTATATATTGTTTAATATATTTTGTTGTGTTGGGAGATCTGCTCTGTAGCTTACCGAAATTTACCTGAGGACCCCCATCTATTTAATGGCCATGACAGGGACAGAAAGCCGGGGGTTTGTCGAAGGTCCCCCCCCCCTTTTTTTTTTGCTAGGGACTTATTCACCTCAATTTTGAATTGAAGGCATTTATGGCCCTGGCGAGTAGACGGTTCCATGGGTTTATAATTCTATGGGTGAAAAGTATCTCATGTTTTCTTTCCTACATTGTGAGTTTAAAGCTGTTACCTTGAGGTTATCTTGAGTTACCGCTTGTGTATTGCATGTGACATACTAAA